ATAGAGGGTGAATTTGAGGAAGAGACTGGCTACTACAATTAAGGAAGAGGAGGAGAGTTTGGGGTATGAGAGGCAATATACTGACTGTCATCTCGTTTCCTCACAACGCCATTCTATCTATGAGACGAACTCCCACCACTCGTCACTCTCGCTCATTCTTCGAGAACACCAGAAAAGACCGCACAAACTCGTCAGCGAGAGCCAATACGGCCCTCTCTCACTCTCAGCTCTTCTCAGCTCTTGCCACAGGCTGAAACCCGCATCCGCCTTTACCTTTGCCTCGCCCGTCACTCTCACTTCCCCCATGTCCGTGCCGAATAGCTCCCATGGACCAACGCACACTTCGCCGACGCTAAGGAAGAACGCACTCGAAGCTCAGACGAACGTGTTTCCGTACGGCAAACACGATGATAAAGAATTGCTCTTACCCCGGTCTTTTCCAAGAAACTAGTCGTACGCAATGGATGGAGAGAGAGGATTCCTTCCTCTCTTTTGACTTACATTCGGGGTGGCTTTTACGTCTGGTTGAGACTCATAGCACGAGCATGAGCATGAGCACTGGCTGCCAAGCATCCTCGACTGTCCAGCTCACTGAGCCTCCTCCTCTCCGACTGTAGATGTTTTGCAGGTGCTGCTTGGCTTGCCGGCAGCTTCAAGCCTGCGAATAGTTACTAGTCCTGACAGGCACTTTGCCAGGATGGCGGCACTCATACCCATTGGGGCACCGGTTCGTCAAACCCCTATTCACTCCCCCCTTCCTGTTCCAGCATGGCAAAAGAAGATCCCATGACTAACATCGTGAATTCCTTTTCCCCTATCAGCTGCCTCTGTATGGACCTCCTTACCCCCCACAAGTGGCCGCCCTGGGTCTCATCCCAGACGTGAGGGTGGACGTCCCAATCTGCATCATCCTCATCATCTTCTTCTTCGCCGCCGCCCTCCTCAACGGCGTAATCTTCCTCCGAAACAATGCCCGGGGCCACAAGTTCCTCCCCTCAGGCGTTCTCGTCGGCTTCTGCCTCACCCGCATCATCGCCCTCTCCCTCCGCATCGCCTGGGCCACCCAGCCCTGGAACGTCTCCCTCAACATCGCGGCCGCCGTCTTCGCCGCAGCAGGCGTCGTCCTCCTCTTCGTCCTCAACCTCCTCTTCACCCACCGCCTCCTCCGCGGCCTCCACCCCAACATTGGCTGGCTGCCCGCCGTCAACGTCTTCTTCCTCTTCACCTACTTCCTCATCTTCGTCTGCCTCGTCTGCGCCATCACCGCCCTCGTCGTCAGCTTCTACACCCTGGACCCGGTAAGCCTCTACGACTGCCGCGTCGTCCAGCTCTTCACCTCCACCACACTAGCCCTCATCGCCTTCCTCCCCATCCCCATCCTCCTCTTCGCCGCCTTCTACCCCGGTCTCCGCCGCCCCGAACCCTTCGGCTACGGCTCCCTCACCACCAAAATCATCCTCGTCCTCACCGCCGCGACCCTCATGACCATCGGCGCCGCCTACCGCTGCGCCGTAAACTACGCCGTCCGCCCCGTCCTCTTCCCCGGCTGGTGGCACCACAAAGCCTGCTACTACATCTTCAACTACGACCTCGAGCTCGTCGTCATCTTCCTCTACGCCCTCTTCCGCTTCGACCTCCGCTTCCACGTCCCCGACGGCGCCTGCAAGCCGGGCCACTACGCAAAGGGCCAGCACGCCTACAAACGCGTCAGCACCCTCACCGTCCGCGAGAGATTCCGCCGCGGCCGCAGCGGTCGCCACGGAGGGCGCCACGGCGTCATCAGCTCCTTCTCAAGACGCACCACGACGGCGGTGCGAGGACGAGCCTCGTCTCGCACGGAGTACTTCACCCCGAGCGGCTACCTCGCCACCGACTACACTCGGAGCAGCTACTTTACAGGATCCGGGGACAGCCGAAGCGGCTACTTTGGCGGGACGCGCTCGTCGGGCAGCAGTCGGTCCGAGGAGATTAGCAACGAGATCAACACGGGTATAGGCGGTCTAGGTATCGGGGGAAGGAGGAGAGAGATCTTCCGAGAGCGTGTGGTCGTCGAGAAGAAGGTGAGAAGGGGTCGACCGACAAGGAGGAAGACGAGCGAGGAGAGGAGGCGAAGTCATGAACGTCGGCGTCGGCGGCATAGGAGGTGAAGAAGAATCATAGGGTTTAACGTTATGTCCGACATATGGTCCAGGAGAGATAATGTGTGATGATGACGATGCATATTTGGGAGGTTCCAAATACGGACCTACAGGCGCAAGGCGATCATTTATCGTGTACTTGAATAAAATACTAGTTTGGAAGCTCACCTTGAAGCATTGGCCTGCGACTTGATAGTATCCATGCGTGGCAGATCAGGGGGTAAAACGGAAATTGGAACATCAGCTTGTCATTAACATCGACACCTTCTTTGTTGCCGGCGGTCTATGATGAGTATCTAACGTGATGACAGAGGAAAGCGTCCAGGATACACCAGGAACCTTAATGATAAGGAACTCTCGCGCTCCTAATTGAGCGTCCTGGGGCCATTCTGTATCTCTCTCGCTCTATATCATATTGCTCAACGCAGGATCTCTCTTTCTTGGGAGTACATTGGTTCTCTTGGCTTTTGTTGTAATCTTACAAGATTAGACGCCCCTAAAACACCAATGCAAGTTGAGCATGCACGCCCCCATCTCTTCGAATTCCGTCCATGGATGACATCCAGATCGATCTGAACGACGGACGGTAAGGGTATCGGATAGGTTGATCAGAGGAAGTAGTCGGGTGTGCGTCTCGAGACCATCGGCTCGCCGGCTCTGGGGCAAGGATCGAATTGCAGGCTGCGTATGGTTAGTATATGCTCGTCGACAGCACGTTGGTGAGAAGTGTGTGCTTACAAAGTGTACTTAAGATGTTCGTCAATTTCCATGATCGCCGCCTGGTTACCGCATCTGTAACAATAGTTGGGTGCTGGCTCGGTTAGTCATGATTCTCCAGCCCATCGCATCAAGAAGCTCCGCTTACCAGAGAAAATCGTCACGACGTTTCTGTCTTGAGACCAATTGTAGCCCTCCATCACCAGTTGATGAGCACGCGCAATAAGCGTCAGACCGTTGTTGTGGTTGAAAGCCTCGGAGATGTCCTGACCGAACGTATAACCGGCACCACGGGGTGATATCCCCCAGCCGCAGCGGTCATCCGGGTCGGACCAAAGGAGGTCGCACATGGGGCCCTCGTGGGGCACCTCCTGGATTCTGTCGAGAGCTCTGATATTGTCCAGGGTGTCGATACTAGGAGACAGACCACCGTGCAAACAGAAGATCTGGTTGTCGATGAGGGCGGTAAGGGGGAGGTAGTCGAAGAGGTCGGTGAAGTACTTCCAGACGTTGGCGTTGCCGTATTTTCTGAGGCACTCGTCGTAGAAACCGTAGACTTGGGTAATCTGGCGGGACTCGTGGTTGCCACGCAGGATGGTGATGCGCTGAGGGTATCGGATCTTTAGGGCGACGAGGAGAGTCACGGTCTCGACGGAGTAGTAACCACGGTCGACGTAGTCACCTAGTAAGGTAAGTGTCTATCCAAGAGAGTGCGAGGACATGATATGGTCAATATACCCATGAAGAGGTAGTTGGTGTCGGGGTTCGGACCGCCAATCTTGAACAACTCCATAAGATCGTGAAATTGGCCGTGGATATCACCGCACACTGTCACCGGGCATTTCTGAATGAGGGGGGTCAGCTTGAATCGCTTGCCCTGCGATCGGGGATACATACGACGGGCTGCACATTGGATTCGTCCTGCAGGACTTCCCGCGCCTGTTGATGGACGTTAGCGAGGCGTTCCTAGGGGTCACGCGAGAGGGGTGATTCGAGATGAGGGGAGGGGAGGCCGAATGGCGAACCGCAGCTGTGACGCTGTGGGAAACGCGCATCACGACCTTCATCATCGCTGGGGACGGAAGGCTTACCTTCTCGCAGAGTCTCTGGACGTCGGCCTCAACGAGCTGCTTGCAGCTCATGAGGCTCTCGATCCAACCATCTAAAGTAGGGATCGTGGTGGGCTCGAGGTTCTGGGTGGAAGGCAGATCGGCGGGGACACGGCCGACGTCCTCCATGTTCGTATCCATGCTGAAAGTCGTCTAATCGATTGAAATGCTTGGGATGTTGATAGATGACTCGATCGCACGAAGGCTGGGTCGTGGAGAGCAAAGAAGGCAGCGTCGTCGGGGTCGTCGAGTTAGGTTGGGGATGACGTTGTTTTCAGCAGCCGGTCGCGGTATTCAGATTGGCACAGCACCTCAATCGTAGCGTGGGGCTGGCGGCGAATCGTCACAGGCGGTCAGAGCTTCGTCTGAGGCCAGATAAGGAGGACGCGATCGAGTGTTTTGGGCGAGGGAGAGAAACACAACGTTGGAAGTGTTCGCGCAGGGTGGGGTTGGAAGGGATTATGTTCTCTGGATGCTGTGATGAGAACGGGGAAAGACGTCGACGTTGGGCACTGGGGATTTTTGCGATGTGGAAGGTGGTGCTCTAGTGCTGGGTGCAGGTGCGGCGGGCGTGGTGTGGTGCTTGCTGGTTGCAGCAAGACCAGCAGACTGGGGCAGGAGGGGGATTGAGAGATACACCACCACACTGGATGGGACTTTCCTGAGCCCCCAGACAAGAAACACACCCGAGCCATGAGGCAGGAGACAAATGCCTCCCATTGGGTGACACCTCCTGGCCTAGACTCGCTTAATCCAATACACTGCACTAACGTAAGCCTCGTCACGGCTGCGTCTACTCCTTTGATGCATCAGCCTCGACATGAAGGTAAAGCCCTATAGGTAGGTATGTACCTAGGTAATACGGATACCTGGGCGGCCAAAGTAAGGCATCTCAATCTAAATATCTTAAGAAGAGAGTAGACACACTGAGCATCATGTCATTGATCGTTCCACGAAACTCTGCTTTCCCTAGTTGCCTTTGTCACACTGGTTGCTCCCCGTTTTTCCCATCAGTGAATTTCGATATAGGTCACTGGTCCTATGGCTACTTATTTCCCTATTTAGGTAACAAACGTCGTCGCAAGTAAACAGGCCAGGGGCCAAACAAGCCTCAAGTGGCCCAAAATACCTGTGCACATGCCAGTGGCCGCGGCACTTCCGTCATTTCGTCCTCAATGTCTCGGTATCATTTGCTTGACCGCGGACTAAACACAACCCGCAATCTTCAGCCCTTCCATTCATTGCCCATTACCATTACCATTGCCATTACTCAAGGCCCGTCAACACCGTCTCGCGCATGCCTATTGTAGACGTCGCAGGGTCTCGGTATACTCAGTCTTTGACAACTACGATAGCCCGAGACCAACGGGGCTAGTGATACCCGACGAGTGCTCCAAATCACGTCCGACCAGTGTGCGGAAATCGAGCTGCACCTCGTTCAACATCTTTGCGTGCTCGTGGGCACGCTCCATGCATTCGTTCCAGACCTTTCCGCCGCGCTCTGTTCCACTGAGCTGTCGCGCGAGGATGCCGTTGAAAGTCTCCACCTCTTCCTTGGCCCATTTGACGCAGGCGCTCATCATCGGCGGAGGGAAACATGAGTGAAAGCAGCTCACGGTGTTGCGGATCAGAGAGAAGTAAACAAACGAGAGCTCCCAGATGTACAGGTGCAAATCACCCTGGAAGATGCATTGTCTGAAAGGGGGTTAGCCAAATCCAAAAGGATACGTAGCATCGCCAATCTCACCTCGATCGCTTTGTGATAATATCATGTCTGGCGACCAGATATGCCTCGCGAGCCCTGTCTTCGTAGCCAAGCCTGGCCAACCAACTAATGTTACGCTTGTTCTTGGTAGGCGCCGTGTGTGTCGTCTCGAGCTCGCGAATGATCATGCCCGCCAACTTGGCACATCTTTCTTCGACCTTGAAGCTGATGAAGTCCTGCGCCACCGCATTGTTCTTCAGGCCTCGAGCGAGATTCTTCAGCTTCTCGACGCGGTCAACTGCTGGCTCGAAGCTCTGTAAGGCAATGTCAATATCGAGCTCGTCCATCTGGCTTTCGACCCATCGTAGATTTTGCTGCTTTCCATCAACGTCGATGAGCATGTCCTTGATGTCAGACAATGTTTCCAGAAGCTCAGTCTTCTGCAGCAGGCCGGGGTCACGGGACGCAAAGTAGTTGATCGTCTCCTTGGCCTTGTTGTTGGCCTCCAGTTCTGACTGTCGCTCTTTGCGCAACTCTTCCACTGCTTTGCGGATGTTGAGAAGCAGACTGTTCTTCTCCGTGTCCTCTGGCTTTTCGGTTCGATAGATGACAGATTCCTGGCCGACGCCTCTGACCATGACAGCATCTGCCAATTTGTTTCTCGTCGTTGAGCCATCGCCGGGCCCGGCCATGTCAACAACCTCAATATCAAGCAGCGGCCAGCAACGATCTGCGACCAGCTTCACCAAGGGGCCTTGAGCTTCGCGAGGCGGGACATCGGCTTTTCTCTTCTTGCGAGATGCAATAAGCAAATGGTCGCTGAGTAGGAATATCTGCATCGCTCGTCGAGACTCGTATGTGGCGTTGTCCAGCTCAATCCAAGCTCCTGCATTCTGGATGACGTGGCGCCGGGCAGAATTGGGCAGGAACTTTTGGGAACCCTCGACATTCTTGTATAGTGCCTGCATCTGCGAGTTCCAAAGGGCGCTTCGGTCTGCGACCGAGCTTCGCTTGTCCCTCTTGCTCAGGCCTGTCGAGAGTTCGCCCCCAAGGCTTGAAGACTCATTGTTTCCGTTGTTTGAGGCCTGGCGAAGCGCTGTTGTATTCACCTTGAGGTCCGTCATCAGGTTCTTCAACGCTCGCATCTCGCCCTTGAGCTTCTCGGCCTCTTTGCTAATCTTGATGAACTGGGTACGGTTCTGCATGACATTCTGCTGCAAGTCTGCATTGGCCCGGCCCTTGAGATTGCGTAGGTTATCCTCAAATTCTCGGATCTGGTCTTCGTCCGCTTCGCTGAGCAATGTCGCAACATCTAGAACTGCGTGAGTTACATGCTATGAACTAAAGAGGTCCATTACTCACATTGGTCTGGTACCAACCCGGGGTCTCGCAATGCCTTTATATCGACAATCGGCGCTGGTGCTGTGCCGCCACGGCTGGGAGGGGGCTGTGCTGCTCTTCGCTGGCGGGACTCGTACTTGTCGAGGGATGGCATAGACGGTACCGGCGGGTTATTCACGTCGAAGTCGTTCGGCAGGGTGTTAAACCGCGTCGAGTATCGTCGCTTAACCAAGTCCGAGGTCTATTGATTCTCCCATCAGCTACCAATACCCTCAAATTGACTCTCCAGTCAGCCCTTGCTGAGGGTGCTTACCTTTCCACCTCCAGCTTGTGGCGGCGGGCGAAGCCGAGGCTGGACCGGCGGAGGACCTGCATCTGCCATCGGTCTTGAGCCGGGAGGCCGTACTGGGCCAGATCCATCTTGTAGAATGGGCTCTGAGATCTGGCGAGGTGCGCTGATCTGTGGACGGCCCTTTCTCTTTCCACTTCGGAGCGAGATCTTGCTGCGCTCCCGATCTTCCGACATGGCGGGCGGTTGAGTTGGTGTTACGTGCTGAAGGGCACGTATCTAGTAGCAATTATTGTGCATAGAGAGACGAATGTATGTGGGTAGAAAGAGCGAGGACAAAGCCCCTTTGGTGAAGCCGCAGATCAAGTCGGATGGATGTTGTTTCATGCACCGTCTGTCGCCCGCGGAGTGGGAAGCTGCCGTGCTGTGGTGGCCATTGAGAGGACAAGACCCCTGCCAGTTAGATATTAAGATGGACGTGGAGTCCCAAGTCGTTGTGGCACGCAGCACTTATCCCTCTACGTAATCTGGAAGGCGGGCACCTAACCTCATCGTCCAGTGGGCAATAGTGGCCTCTTGGTGGGTGCTGCAGCAGTGCACCTACGTGCCTACCTACCTAACCTCAGTGAGCTGTCGATTCAGTACGTACCTATCTGATCAGTGTGTCTGGTCTGTGCTCCCAGAGACCCACTCCAGCGGCTGCTTGGCAAGAGAACGCGACCTGGGAACCATGGCGCAGAGGCTAAAAAAATTGGTAGAGAAAGCTCCATCAATTCCCGATAGAGCTTCTTTCCTTCGATATTTACTCCGTCAACGAATCCTCCGCCTGTTGTCTCCCCCCGGTCATTCAACCATCTCCCAACTCACAAAGCGCAATATTGTGAAACTGAGCACAAACCCCGTCAGCTCTCATCGTCGCTATCAGCTCCGACTGCTGTAGACCGAACCCAAACCTTCCGTCCGCTTTTCCCCAAATTCCAGAAAAAAAGATGTCCCAGACTTCCACGATAGTGACGGCATCAGTCGCCGCCGCCGTTACCGGCTTGGTTGGTGAGTCTGCCTCAACATCTCCACGAACCCCGATATCACGATTTTTCCTCTGCCAATTCCATAATGGGATCGAGAGACCAGTCTAATTGGAGCCGCGTTTGCTAATGTTCGTCATCAAAGCGTACGCCGCCTTCTTCGACTACCAGCGACGCAACAAGGCTGAGTTCCGGAGAGAACTGCGCCGAAACGAACGCCGTCAGCACAAGGCCGAGAAGGAGTCGGCCCAGCAGGAGACCGTCCGACAAAGGCAAGCCATCAAGGAGGCCGTCGATGAGGCCAAGGAGGAGGGCTTCCCTACCGATGTCGAGCAGAAGGAGGCATACTTCCTCCAGCAGGTTTCCGAGGGAGAGACCCTGTCCGCCGACCGTTAGTCCAACCCCTATACGAGAAGAAATACCCGGAATGAGGCGAGATGGCTCAGCTTGCTGACAATTGTTGATGTTACAGCCACGCGCGCTGTTGAAGCCGCGCTTGCGTTCTACAAGGGCCTCAAGGTTTACCCTACGCCTGGTGACCTGATCGGCATCTACGACAAGACCGTTCCCAAGGTAAGAGACCTCCTTGGATCCCCGGGAAATTGCTACAGCATTTGATCTGGAACTGACGTTATACCTAGCCCGTCCTTGACGTTCTCGCCGAGATGATCGCCTACGACTCCTCCCTCAACATTGGCCAGTACCAGGGTGGCGTCAACGTTGACCTCGGCGGCATGCCCACCGTCGGCCTGGACTAAAAGATCTTCGTTTGAACGATGTAGCTCTCACCATAACGAGTTCCCCTCCACTCTCTCACATCCCCCAAAACCTGGACACACACAATCCGGCGCGCGCTCGCCTCCAAAGAATCCGCAGTCACTCCACCAATGGCGTGATGCTGCGAATCCACCACCCCATACGTAATCCCCCGGCATTCTGCGAGAAGAGGAAGGAGGAATTACGACTTTTCACTGTACAATACCTGGCCGGCTGGGGCTGTTTTGATAGAAGGTTTTTGTAAGAGGAAAGAAACCAAGTGTATATTGACGATCCCTGCAGGGACAAATAGGCAAAGAAGATGGAGAAGATTCACGAAATTCCACAATTTCATAAAGCGTGTGTATCTGGTGTCTTGAGAACATGCAGCTGGCGCCTTTTTGATTTTCCGTTTGATATACTACCGAATAACCTAGGCCTCGATTTTCCTGCCCTTCCTGTCGACTCTGTCATCTCTGGGGTCGAAACCGCCTTTGCCCCAGGTAGCCCACTCGGGCGTCGCCTCGCCCATGTAATCCTCGGGCTTCCAGTCTCCGTCGGCGCCCCGCTCCTCCAGCAGCTCAAAGAAGCGCTGGTAGTCGATGCGGGGGTGCCACTTGCCATCTTTGTAGAACCGATCGCTCGCGAGCAGGACGCAGCAGCTGTGAGCGTGCTCCGCGGCGATGCCGTACTTGAGCCCCTTTTCGTTAAGCCTCTTCTCCAGCGCCGTGACGAACTCTTGGACTTCCCAGTAAAAGGGAACGTTGGACATGCTCAGGCCGGCGTTGGACGCCGTTGAGGTGCCGCAGTATGTGACGCCCTTGATCTCGACGAAGCAAGGGAGGCCCTTCTCCACGAGCTGCGCGTAGCCCTCGACCTCGTCGTCGACGTTGAAGCCCTTGACGAGGGTCAGACGGAAGACGGTGCGGTGCTTGAAGCGCTTCTCCCTGAGGATGTCGAGACACCGCTGGAAGCGCTCCCAGAAGTCTCGGTGCAGGGGCCGGTCGATCTTTCGGAGGGACTCCTTGTTGGAGGCATCGATGGAGACGTACAGCTGCGTCACGGCCTTGAGGGCGGCGAGCTGGTCCGGGTGCTGGGCATTGCAGACCAAGAATGAGGAGATGCGCTCGGCGTGGAGCATACCGAGGAACTCGTTGATGTAGGGGTAGAAGATGGGCTCGCCGACGAGGGAAAGGGCGCAGTGACGGATGCGCATGGCCTCGGCGAAGCGCTCGGCGCGGACGCCGGGGACGCCGCGGAGCATCTTGATCTTGTTGTAGTGGTTCGCCTTGACGCCGTCAAAGATGAGCTCTGGCGGGTCGACAACCCAGCGCCAGGTCGTGCCGACGGGGTTGGTGCCGTGGCGCCAGCAGAAGACGCACTTGTTGGAGCACGAGAGAGACGGGGTCGTTTCCATACACTGGTGGGAGTTGATGCCGTAGAAGGAGTACTTGTAGCAGGAGCCGCGGCCGCGGAGGGCTGATTTCGTCCAACGGCAGATCTTGACGCCCGAGTGCGAGCCGACGATGGAGTAGCCCTGCTTCGTGAGCGAGGCGTACGTGGGCGAATTCTTGGGGACCATCTCCTTGGCGGCGTTAAGAGGGGTCTTCTTCGCGACCGTCTTTCCGTATGTTGTAAAGTCTACAGCGATAGGCGCAGCTGCTCCAGCCGTTGCCGTTGCCGATTTAGCTGCGCGGCCGTTTGTGGCAGCGTCGGGGTTAGAGCTCTTCATGATGCGCCCCAGGTCTTCGACGTCATCAATGTTCTTGCGGCTCTTGAGCTTCTCGGGCTTCACTTCGGAGTCCTCGATCAACACTTCATCGTCGTCCTCAGCCGCAGATTCGTCGTCGCTTTCCTCAGGGGCACCGCTTCCCGGAAGTCCTTCTCCCAGGCTGCCAGTCTTGGCCAGCATGCCGAGAACATCGACGACACCCTCAGACCACTCAGATAGGCGCTCGGTGTAGTCTCTCTTCGTGTCGCCCATTCCGACAGGGAAGGCTCTCTTCCGACCCGTCAGCTTCGCCATCCACTTGTCGACCTGCTTGGCCTGGAAACAGAATCCATCCTCTTCCGTCGGCCAGCCCTCCCTATCACCAAAGCCAAAGACGGAGTATCCGAGCAGCGAGGACAACGGCGCGGTGTCGATACGGAAGTCGTGGTGGGTCTCCTGGAGGTGCTCCAAGAAGGTGTCGTTAATGGTGTCGATGTTGTAGCTTGGCAGTAGGAACAGATAAAAGAGGTCCGCGGGGTCCTCTTCCGATTTGGGCGGGGTGATGAAAAAGTCGTCAAAGTCGACCTCGGCAAGATCCAGCACCTCGGGAGTCATGAACGAGCAGGCGGTCTCCGCGGCGACCTTTTGCAGCTCCTTCTCCAGACCCTCTGCATACTCCTTTGCGATCTTGGGTGTGTTTGCGGTGATGCTTGAAAAGAAGACCAGAGGCCTGACCTTGCGGACCAGAGCCTCTCCCTTTGCGTCATTAGAAGAAGTTCGCTTGACTATTCCGCCTTTTATCCTTTTGGGTCCGTTCGACTTTGGCGCTTTCGACTCGACGGTAGGGCTCGGGGGGCTTGGTTTGACATCCTTCTTCTTCGTCTCCTCCACAGGCTTCGTCTCGGGCTTCTCTCTGTTGTAGGCCTTAGGCAGGGCCTTCAATTCGCTCTTCTCCTCGATAGAATGGAGGTAGAAGCGCAGAATCAAGAGCCCAAAGGCCGTGAACAAGATCACAGGGATGCGAACCTGCTGCCAAATATCGTGGACATCTACACGCAAAAAAGTACAATGAGCGGCTGAACAAGAAACAGGGGTGGCGGGAAGCACCAAAGGCAAGAGTCAACTTACTGTTCAACATGGACCTGAAGCCTACCGGCTCAAGAGTGGAAGCCATTGGTGCTGCGACGGAGCGCGGTGCTCGAAGACGAGCTATGCGCGGGTTCTATCGTCACTTTTTGGAGGAACGCGCCTTGAGGTTGTGATTTCTCTCAAGTTCCATATGAGCAGTGGCGGGGTGTGCGAAATGGGCTTTGACCAGTGGGTGCGAGCGCAATTGCAATAATTATTTCAAGTGCCAAACTTTCCCAGTGGCTGACCTGGGTGTTTAGCGGTGCCCCGCCAAAGAATTTTAGGCCTGGCCCTGCACCTCATCGACCCCGCCATTAGCGTCTTTGGGGTTCCCCAGTTGCTGACCATTGGCATTGAATGGCAGCCAGGATATCTCACGGCTCTTCTTTTGTGAGAACACCATGACTAAGACTGGAGCCCGCCTTTATCGAGAAGCTGTTTGCAAATCAAGTTGAAATCAGATTCCTGAAGCGATTTAGGCTTGTAACTCAAACCGAAAACTACGTATTGCGCTTTAATCATATTTCAATGCTCCTGGGTGCACAATAGATGCCTACATGGCTGATGGATGGTGGATGTCACACCAGATTAATCATTAATATGTACTGGTCAGGAGACCGCACGGGAGCTTGACTAGTGAACAGGAAATATACCCAGGTTTGTGCCCATGGAGGCAGCCATTTGCTCAGAATGAGACTGAGTCGCTGTTAATGCTAGTTTTTCATGTCGATCCAGTTGATCAAACCCTTCTATCCGATCCTGCCTGCGCTTGCTTGTCTCGGATATCCTTCAGGCACGGCGCAAAGAAAATTTCCCCAGAAATAGCCTGATGAAGTGTTCTCACCGCAACAAGCAGCCAGAGGAAGCATACAGAGAGCGAGAAGATCTACCAGGAGAAATCAGCAAAACCGGACGGATAATCATCGACAGGCACGAGAGGGAGACAAACCATGGTCATGACCCTGAAAAAGGGGCTGTCCAAGTCCTGGGCCAGCATGCCGGTGCAGGTCGCCAACACGCCCAGCGGGAACGTAAATCCCCACCAACCCATGTTGAAAGGGATCTTCTCCATCGTAGCAAGGCTGATGAGAGCGAACGACAGCCAGACGAGGGCGAAGCCCCACATGACGAGCGCCAGGAAGAGCCCGACAAAGTAGAGAATCTCTCCGCCGTGCACCGCCCCTGGAGCCGCCACGGTTAGAGCCGCAGTCTGGGGGAAGAGCTTCAGGGACACCTTCCCAAGCTGCTGAATGCCAAAGCCGCCCTGGCCCAGAGGACCAATGGGCAGGAACACGGAGACGATGGCCTCCTTGGGCGGAAGGCTGTGGATCGTCAGGCGGTGGAAGTACAGCGCGAGGACCATGCCCGAGAAGCATATCCCGATTCCCCAGAGAACGTAGGATGCGATCAGGGTTGTGAAGGCGTGAGATGGGTTTGAGAGGGCTTCGGCGACGATGCCGCCGGTGGAGGATGCGACTACAACGGGGACGATTGGGAGGAGACTTGCGGCTGTTACTGCCTGAAGTCCTGGGCGATGTTGATGAATCCTTCAAATATGGTTGATCAGCCTCGAATTTCGAATCATGTGTGGTGAGATCACTCACATGACAAAAGGCACTGAGATGCAGGTTGCCATTGACAGAGCAGCATCAAGCCACCAGAATGCCCAGGCCCAATTCACTACCCACTGGCCCCAGGCAGGTGCGCATACGAACACCATCATGTTGATAATGGCTATTCAAAGCGATTAGTTTAACCTTGTGGTGGAGTTGGGAGAATTTCGTAACTAACTTGCAAACCCCATTGGGAAACAGCCAAGAAACATGGACTGGGCAGGGTGTATGACCATAGCTTTCCAAATCTCAGGGTACAATGCGTACCGCAGCACTGTAATGACGGTGAAGACGGTAAACAGAGTGATGTTGAGTACGAAAAAGGCAACGGCAAGACCATGTGAGATCCATGTTACGTTGTAAGGCAGGTTGTGAAGGAGAACTGAGACTATCCCTGTTCCCATTGTAACCGCAAACCATCTGCATTATGTTAGACACACTTTAGTTCATCATTGACTCTCGAAATTTTGCTTACGAGGGTGTGAAGTTTCTGACAATTCTCCTCCAACCTACATTTTCCTTATTACAAGGCGTACATGAGGTCGGGGCATCTTGACAAGAACGTTGTTGCGCTCCCGACTGAATTGTCGAGGTTGCGCTCACAGTTGCCATAGCTTAGAAGAGCACCTAAGAGACCAGATGACTTCAACAAAATTCTGTTCCTGAATCTGCCTATTGGTGGCTGAACAACTCAATGGCGATTTCTTTCTGCTACAGAAGACGTAGCAAAATAATTGACAAGAGTTCACCCACACAACAATGAAGAAGGAATTTCAGGGCCGCAAGTTTCCCTATGACTCTGGCTCTCTTACCTAAGGTAAAGCCGTTTCCTAGCGTGAGTAATCTAGACGAACCCATTCCGGTAACTAGCCCCACACCGGATCCGCTCAGCTGACTCTGAGGCGGTGCGGCTATCGGCCAACGCCGGCAGCGATCCACCCATTAACTGGCAAGATGAGAATTTCATGTTGTCAAGAATTCATTTTGATATCAAAAATGTGCATGAAAATCCCTTGACTAGATATAGTCCCGTGAAACTCTAACAAGGCCCATCTCGTCTGGTGTTTGGCCATCTGACCACCAAAAGTATTGGGGCTCACCGTCGCCTATCAGCGGCTTTGCCGGGATCCCTCGACTTTGGTAAAGTAGGTTATCTCGTCCAACCAGAAGCGCCTATTTTTGGAGACCAGTCCACCAAACGTCGAATTGGTCGCCGACTAATTGTCCGCTGCGCTCTGGCAACGTGGACAGATTGCCCTGTCTCAGAGAGAAAAGTCAGGACCGACGAGGCGACCCACCGGCCGACGTCGGATCATCCAGTAGTTCCGCCAGTCCCGCCCGTTTCCATCAGGTAATTCCAGCCAGGCCCGGTCACCGGGTAGATTCGTATCACCGACGAGCAAAAAGAGTCCAGCCCCCCGCACGACGAGTTCCCAACAGAACCATCCAAAGCAACAATCGTCCAAGCACCACCACCAACAACATCCCGAACAGCACCGACTTGATAGCATTCCATAGCAGCCATGGCCGTCGATATTCTGACCAAGATCACCTCCGCCTTCGGGCATAACCTCAAGACCGATGTCAATCGGTTCGACGAGCTCGTGTTGAGATTGAAGGAGGCGCTTGGCCCGTCGTCAGGACTTGACTCGGCAGACGTTGATGTCAACGAGTTGATGAAGTTAATGGAAGAGTATAACACAACGGAAAGCGAATGGATACAATTTGCATTCGCCGAGAAGAGCATGGGATACACCCGCAATCTTGTTGACGAAGGCAACGGCAAGAGCAACCTGGTGAGTCGACTCGTGGCCACGACTTCGTGGCATCAGGTAGTATCATGGCTAACGCCACACAGCTTGTGCTTGTCTGGTCGCCAGGCAAGGGAAGCCCCATCCACGATCACGGCAATGCGCATTGCCTGATGAAGATTCTGAAAGGCGATCTCACTGAGATCCGCTACGCCTTCCCAGAAGGCAGCGAAGAACAACCAATGCAAATCATCTCTGAAAGAACACACAAGGAGAATGCGGTGGCATATATGGCAGACGAACTTGGCGTCCACCGAGTCTGCAACAAGGGCAGCGACTTCGCTGTCTCCCTTCACCGTAGGAATTACCTCGCCGTCTCCGCCATAACATGACTGACCACTTCGTAGTCTACACTCCTCCCAACGTCGCCAAGGGTGGTTGCAACATCTTCAATGAGAAGACGAGCAAGAGGAGTCATGTAGCAAAGTGCGGCTACTACTCGGCATACGGCCGCCGACTGCCGAAGCAGTAAATGGTGATGGTGTCGATGTTCTCTTTTCGTCCTGGGCGTTTGCGTATTTGGCTTCGACGACTATCCGAGCTTGGATTTGTCCTGTTTGATATACAACTGGGGGATGCCGAGAGCCGTAGAACGCTTGTCGGTAGCCTGATGAATGATGATGGCATGAATGCTCTATCCACCGTATATAGTGGATGTATACCGTCGGCGAGCTCAACCTGCCGTGTTTCCGTATGTTTTTTTGGGTACCATAAGATAGCAAATTCATCACAGAATTACCTGAGACAAGAAAATATGAATGAAGTGAGGTTGTGAAGGTGCAAGAGCCGCAGAGTCGTCGTCGTTGGCCAGAGACCACCCAGACGGGCCCGGAGGTAGGTCACGTGAAATGTCGTGATTTTGCAACTCACGATGATTGGCTTGTGTGGGTCTTCTCCGCGATGGCGTGCTTGCACGAGGTGACCAGATGGAGGATAGCTCAGCCACAGGCTCGCATCTTTCCAGCCACAGCACCAGCCTCATGCTGCTGGTGTAAGAGTATCCCTGTGTCGATCTCACCACTCCAGGTACGCGAGAGACGCGTCTATCGCGTCTGGTCCGATTTGTGAGAGGTCCCAATTGTCCTGCCCAGTTTCGGCACGCCAGATCTGGAACCGTTCGGTACCAACCTGTCAGTTTCCCGAAGCTGACAGCTTTCCCCAACCCGCTCTTTTGTTTCACGAGTTAGTACCCATCCGGCCCCAGAATACGGCCCCAGAGTCCGGGGGCTCGGACATTGAGGATGCCACCCAAGAAGCGCAGCATCGCTGTCATCGACCTTGTTAGTAGCGATGGCGAAGACTCATCTGCCCAACGACCCAGCAAAAGGCCGGCTGGCCATCGCTTGGGTCCCAGTCCAGCTAGCGGCAGGGTTTACGGAAATACCCCATCAAGCTCTCAGCCCCGTTTGAGCTCAGGTGCTCTTGCTCCACGCTCTTCGACTCAGTCTACCGACAACGATGACGACCTTGTCGATTTGACCCAAGCTCCGGATGGCCCACCAAGAGAACTTTATGGGATTCTCGGTACGGCATTTGGGCGTTTCGTAGGGTTTTGTCTTATATGCTGATCCGATAATATAGACAACAAGATTGTCGGCGTTCGCTACTACAATGGATATGCCTCTGCAGGCGAGGTGGTCGTATGCATGAGAGAACCCAGTAATCAGGTACTAAATCACAACTATCACAAGCTCAAAGAATTCTCTTCCAAATTGAGCTTCCCTCTCTGCCGTCAGATGGCTAACATGACCATAGTATGATCGCAATGCCATCCGAGTGTGTAACGTCATGGGCGCCCAGATCGGCCATCTTCCACGCAAAGTAGTTGAAAAGCTAGCGCCATACGTTGTACGTACTTTGATCCAACATCCTAATCGTTACTAAAACCTGTGCTAGGATCGGGATGAGATTGCGATAGAAGCTATTCTTACAGGGGAGAAGGGCATGTTTGACTGCCCCATTCGTTTACAGCTCTATGGTTCGAGCAACCCAGTCGACCGCTCGGCGTTGGAGGACAAGCTGAAGAAGGACAAACTGCTCAAGGCTAGAGAACTTAAGCAGACGAGAGCCGAGGCGGAAGCGCAGAGAAAGATGCTAGGCATAAAGGGCAGCCAGTCTACAATTGGTTTGAACCCTGCTGAGCCAGAGGTGTCTCTGGAGGACCTGGCCCAAGCCAGTCAGGCAATTTCCAGCCGTCCACGCGGTGATGCCGTCAAGTCGCTGGTAATGGACGAGGACTTCTTGTCCAAAATGCCGATGGCAGAGCAGCCCGCCGTTCTTGAGTCGACATTACTGCCATACCAATTACAGGTGAGCCATCTTGAGCTTTATGCATGCTGGTCTACTGGCTGCAAGCCCCCTTCCCCCTCAATTCCTACGTATCGAGATTTTTCAGGGCTATAGTGCATTTTAGCTGATCGTAACACAGGGTCTGGCATGGATGACGTCGAAAGAGAGCCCCCAGATGCCTCCTAAGGGCTCCCAGGAGAGTGTCCAACTGTGGAAATGGCACCCGAACGGCCGCAACTTGTACCACAATATGGCCACGAACTTCGTGGTACAGAGTGCACCCAAGCTCCTTTCGGGTGGCATACTAGCAGATGACATGGGTCTTGGCAAGACTTTACAAGTCATCAGTTTGATCTTGACTGGAGGGGGCGGTCCGACGCTCATCGTTGCTCCGTTGAGCGTCATGAGCAACTGGGATCAACAGATCCGGAAGCATGTCAAAAAGGAGCATCTGCCCAAGATCTTTACCTATCATGGAAATAACAAGGCCACCAAGAATGAGTTGGCCAAGTACCAAGTTGTCATCACCAGCTACAACAAGCTTGCCCAGGAGGGAGGCCAGGAAAAGGCCATCGCACCTTTACCACCCCTTATCGCCACGAATTGGACTCGCGTTGTACTTGACGAAGGTCACACAATCCGAAACGCAAAGACCAAGGCTGCCATAGCTTGTCGAAAGCTCAACGCTAAATTCAGATGGGTCCTGACCGGAACTCCAATGTAAGTGTCCCGAGGATGGATTGAATTAAACTGAGCATACCCTGACTTACTGTCACTAGCATCAATAATATCAAGGACTTCCAGTCCTTGCTTCAGTTCCTTGGAATCAATGGTGGCGTCGAGCAGCCTGCCATTTTCACCAGCGTGATCGCACGGCCCCTTGCCCAAGGGAACGAGACGGCAGAGGCTCTCCTACAGCTATTGATGCGAGATCTTTGCCTGCGACGCAAGAAAGACATGAAATTTGTTGACTTGAAGCTTCCGCCCAAGACGGAATACGTCCACCGCATTGCCTTCAGGCCAGATGAGAAAAGCAAGTACGAAGCATTGCTGTAAGTCGCCCGTGTTACCACTTGAAGGACCAAACTCATGCATCAACATAGGTCCGAGGCACAAATTGCGCTTGAGAAATACCAAAACAACACTGGCGGGAAAGGCCAGTTTCAAAGTGTACTGGAGCGCCTCCTCCGCCTTCGTCAGGTGTCAGTATTGCCCGCTCTTGATGAATCGGCTCTACCTAACATTCCCTCAGATGCAACCACTGGACGCTCTGCCGCAAAAGAATCTCCGATCTTCTTGAGGCCCTCGAGGGCCAATCTGTCGTTGTTCTCAACTCGGAAAACACCAAGATCCTCCAAGAGGCGCTTCGTCTTTTTATCGAAACCCAGGAAGACTGTGCCGTTTGCCTCGATACTCTGAGCGGCCCTGTGATCACGCATTGCAAGCACGTCTTCTGTCGCGGCTGTATTTCAAAGGTCATTCAGACGCAGGGCAAGTGTCCCATGTGTCGTAATAAGCTCGATGAAGACGCGCTTCTAGAGCCCGCCCCGGAGGGCGGCGAAGAGGAAGATGAGAACTTTGATGCCGACGCGAAGAGTTCCAAGACCGAGGCTCTCCTCAAGATCCTACAGGCTACAACCAAAAATCCCGACTCCAAGGTCATCATTTTCTCACAATGGACTTCGTTCTTGACTATTATTCAAAACCAACTCGTGGAGGCCGGCTACAAGTTCACCCGCATCGACGGCTCTATGACGGCGCCGAAACGAGACGCAGCCATCCATGCCCTGGACAACGACCCGGAGACGTGCGTGATGCTCGCGAGTTTGGCTGTCTGCAGCGTCGGTCTCAATCTAGTGTCGGCGGATACGGTGATTCTTGCAGACAGCTGGTGGGCGCCTGCCATTGAGGACCAGGCAGTGGATCGTGTGCACCGCCTGGGTCAGAAGAGACCTACAACTGTGTGGCGTCTTGTTATGGAGGGGACTGTTGAGGAGCGCGTGCTGGATATCCAGCTGGAGAAGCGGACGCTGGTCGGCAAGGCGTTCCAGGAGAAGAACAAGGGGAAGAAGACTCAGGAGACTCGCATGGCGGATCTGAAGAAGCTGCTTGGTTGAAGAGCGTTGAAGGAGGTCGCAGTGCTAACGTAGTCAGAAGTCTGGCTCGTCTAAAAGTTCGGTGTGCGGCAAGGCATTGCTAGAGCAACATCATGTATCCATAATTGTATTTCTCATTCAGAGCCAAAAGGGGCTTTAGATATTATTCGAGGTGACTCAACCTCGCGTGTACCTGTATTACCGCAAAACATACGGAGTTGTCCCTCCATCAACTTTAGATCCACAGGAAACAATATTCTTAAGTTACTTATCTGCAACCCCGGCGCTTTCACAATGGTTCACACGCCCGAGTATATTGCGAGGCCTCAGACAACTACGGGACTTCTTACCTCTAATCGTAACCCATACAACTCTCCTCGCTAGTCAGGATTCGCAGAAAACTCCTAATACGAAATAGACCATAATCGCTTCGCCACCCATTTGAACTCAAAAAGAGTTATACAAACGGCACGCTTTGGCCAGGTGGTTCAACCCACGTTTCGTCCAGTCTGATCCCGATATCCAGGGGATCTCGCCGACGGAATACTCCAGATTGTCGGGACTCGGAACCGCCGCAGAACGGTCTGTGCAAGGATGATATGAGGAGGCCAATATACTACAGAGTACAACTCATAGGGCGCGACAGTATGGGGCAGATTCGAAAACTCTAAGATCCTTCTTAGCACCTTATCCACTTGGTATACTTCCCACTACATCCGTACATACCTAAGTGATACGGAGACGGATACTCGCTTCTTACATTTGAGGTGGGCCGCAGGCTGGGCCATGGCTCAGTCGTAAATACCCTCTTTACATTGCGACTTACTCGTTCCCGGCTTCGAGTCATGAATGTAAACGGAGCTAAACGAAACCTTAAGCTAGTAGGTCTTACGGGTAAGTACCACTGCATTGGGAGAGATGGGAAAGTTCGCAGCGTACGGGGAAGTGCAAGCACCGAGCTTGCGATTACGAGAGAGATGTGCCAACTACAGACTGTTTACATTGCTTCAGGCAGATGTATTTCAGGGGTATAAAAGTCATCGTCATATCCCATCCATAGAGAACGCATCCATACCACCGGCCAACAGCTCAAAGCCCCTCTTTCACATCAACTCAGCAACTTCAACTGAAAACGCAAGACACTACATCCCTTCAGCTCAGTGCAGTCCTATCTGAAACCCCAACCATATCTCCCTTCAGACCATAACCTCAAGGACAACCCAAAATGAAATTCACCCTCCTCCTCACCGTGGCCTCATCTCTGGCCATCGCCAGTGCCAAAACCTGCCAATGGACCCGGAAATCATGCAGTCCCAACGGCGGCCAAATCTCCATGCAGGCCTGGATCGACCACTCCCGC